AGACTTCAGTGAACGCAGAGTTAATGAGGTATGACAATGGCCTTAAAACAAAAAAAACCCTCTATTTTTAAAGCAGTTTTACTCTGAAAGGCTATCAGTTTTGCATATATTAGGCATTTCAAATATACAGCATTTAAAGGAGTTATTCTTCTAAGCTATCGTTTGTCTCAGAAGCCTATTATCTTATTTTACAATGTTTACCTCATTCCTATCATTGCATGAGACACTTAAGCAAATATAAGCAAGCAACTACCCAGAAGAGGGAACATTACTATATACAAACCGGTTTCTAATGCACAGCACCAAGTACATTGGCAACAGAAGCACTGATTGCTACCAGCATTATTTTTAGAAGGACAAATATATCAAGGATTTATGTATGATTTTTAGAAATTGCACTTTATTAGAAGAAAAGATCTTTCAGCAGAGATTTCCATTCAATGGATACTTAGCAACACTAAAAATCAGACCCTATCAAACAGCTTGATGTAGCCAAAACAATACAACGCATCCCAGCCGCTGTGGTAAAACACCTCAGTTCCGACCTGCAGCCAGCCAGGTTTTCAGGACTGTCTCTTTGGTTACTATTTCCTCCTCAGTTCCGAGGTGGCAATACCCTGTTAAATGACGTAACGAAACCATCACAAAACAACTGCCAAGCAGCTACTTCATAACTCTCCGCTTCCAAATTCCTTTTTGAATGCAGGTCTCCTAAGGAGGCTGGATCACCAACCTACGCCTCCTGTTAGTCCCAGCCGAAAAAGTCTCCTGACTGTCGGAGCTCTTGTATAGCGGAGCGGAGTACTTTAGAGCCCGTAACAGGCGAGAACGCTGTCGATTTGGAGTGCAAAGTACAGCTGAGTATTTGGCCTTAAAAACCTCGCTCCGTTAACGTAAAGGTTAAACATTCATAGAACAGGACATGTCTCCACTGTTAAGAAGCAGGGCTCCGCTGCTCGCCTGGAGCTTCCTGCCTGCAAGGACCGCAGGAACACAAATAATGTCACCCCGGAGGCTCACGAAACTTGGAGGCGGCCTCGAGGCTGCTGACTTCCAAGCAATCTCCCTCCGTTCATTGCACCGACAGAGTTGGCAGGGTACACTCCATCGCCTCACAAAAGCATCGCTCTGAAAGCGGTCGATTTAAGACAGAAGTAAGAATGCTTCTCTCTCTCCTCGCCCCTAACCCAGTTAAAGCCTTGCGCTTCGGCTTGACTCGCTGCTCTCACCCGAGGACGGCACAACGCTTAGCTCCCCTTTGGTTTCTAGTCACGGTAGCTAGCGGGATGTGCGGAGCCAAGCCAAGGTCCCACAAGGATTTCTCCTCTAACAAAGCGGTCGATTTAAGACAGAAGTAAGAATGCTTCTCTCTCTCCTCGCCCCTAACCCAGTTAAAGCCTTGCGCTTCGGCTTGACTCGCTGCTCTCACCCGAGGACGGCACAACGCTTAGCTCCCCTTTGGTTTCTAGTCACGGTAGCTAGCGGGATGTGCGGAGCCAAGCCAAGGTCCCACAAGGATTTCTCCTCTAACGCCGCAGAC